AGCACTTCAATGACGCTGTCATGTATGAAAAAATTGCAAATCGAACCTTAAACTTACAAAAATGACAAAGTTTTCTCTTTGTTCTGCAAAATCGTCGTTTGTAGATAGGCGGCATTGTTCGTTAGCCATCAATATGGAGTTGCACAGAGTAAATCAAACTTACCTGAGGCATGTAATTTGAAGAGTCCGCACGTGTGCCTTTAGGATAGATTCTACTCATCTGTCTTTTGTTGTAGTTCACAAACTCAATTGCCTGCGATTTTAAATAACCTAATCCAGTGTTTTCGGCGAATGAACTCATATTGTGATGTATGTTTTTCTCTGAAATAAAATACAAGTTACAATAGATTACTTGTTTGATACAGTAAATAGAAACAAACAATAAAACTATGGTGAGCATGATACAAAAAGGTAAAAAATAAAGTCTTATAACAGTGTTGATAACAGGAATTGAAAAGAAAATTGAAGACACTGGAATGGCAGTTTAGTTTCAATTTGTGAATCCTTGAGCATATATCCAAGTTCACCACAAAATCTTTCCTATGTGTCCAAAATAAGTATGTATAATTGCTCTTCATGCTTTCATAAATGCCATTTTTTTTTCATTAGATAAGCTAGAGAGTGTTAACTTGTCACCGTCATCAATCCTTTAATTGCCCTAACGACTAATGCTGAGGTAGCTATTGAAAAATGCATGATTACCTGAATTACGTCAAAACTGTTTTGATTTTTCAAGATTCTGGTAAAGGTACAAGCAATTTTAATTACAATGATAAGGTTTGATTCGAGGCTCAAGTTAGGTTTGGATTAAAAATTTAAGTCCCACACGATTACACTGACATATTTCATCCATCATATGATTTGAGCATAATCTATTCATGTCTAGCCTAACATTTTTCGGAACTTTTTCCTTCATTTCCAAATAAATAAAAAACAAGCAGGAAAGTTCTAATACTGTCGTTTTAGAAAAGCGCTCAGGTGTTAGTAAATGTATTTAGTGAAGAAAGGAAGTATAAACTTCGTCCACTTGGCTGAGAAATGGAAATAAAACATCAGCTGATAGCAAACAAAGGTTACCAAGGAAACCGTAAACGCGTATTTTTGTTTCCCGAAAATGAGCTCACCGTTGAGCTCATCAGGCGCGTTTTTTTTAGGCTTCATTTGAGTTCAACGATCAATTTTGATAAGAATTACCTACTCTACCGCTACAAAATTTTCTTATAGACAAACGATCGAAACTACCTGCGCATTACGTTAAAAGCATAAAATACAGTTTTCACAGCTTTATTTATTTTAAAAATGGACCCCCCCGAAAAGCCTACACATCGATGAGCTGGTGCGCCATTTAAACGCATTAGCACTAGTATACTAGTACTCAGAGGCAAGTCGAAATCAAAAAGCGCTGCCTATCGGCTGAGCGCTTAATACTTACGTTCAGCAACATCAAATCCTTGAAATTTTATAGGTTGAGCATAGTTGACCATGGATGATAGCCACGGATGGACGTTGGTAGTTGAGCCTGTGTGTTGAACGGGCACAGGAGGGGCATCCTCTGCTGCAGCCTCGGCTTCCTCTGCCTTCTTCTCCTCCGGGGGTGGAGCTGCCGCTGTTGCATCTTCTTTTTCCTCATCCTCGATGACGAATTGTCCCTGTCTGAACAATTCCAACTCTCGCGTCTCCACTTCTCGCTTCAAGCGCTTATTCTTAATCATAATTTTTCGTTTCAGCAAACTTGGTGGGGGTAATGGTACACCAGGTTCACACTAGAATAATACAAAAAAACCATAGTCATGAATAGAGGAGAAATAAAAGAATAAACCTTTTTTTGTGACCCATTGCTGAACATCAAACAACTTCAATGATTGATTTTAGAAAATAAGAATTAAACTCAATTTAAGTAAATTGGAATTGTTGAATGAAAGAATGATATACCAGGATTGGTCCAAGTCAAGAAAAAACTGCGCCAAAGTCGAAACTTTAAAAAAAAAAAATTAAGTTTCTAGAATAGCCAAAATCTGCGGTAAAACTGCTCCCACAATTTCAATATCTTCACAAAAAGTTTCGACAATTAACCAAATCAACATTCATTAAAATATCTCAAAATGCTGGGAAAGAAAACCAATACGAAAAAAGAGCACAGATGCTACTGCTATTTTTTGTGAACATTTTAGAAAATTGATAGGAAAAATATTAAATATTTCATGGATAAGAAGGAGAAAACACCTTAAAAAGGGTTAACTGCGAGATAGTAAGATTTTCCAGTATTTAGCACCATAGAATTCAGCGAAACTAGTTGTTGCATACTTCCCTACACATCTCTTCTGTTTCAAAATTATTTTTTCCCTCCTTGCTATTTCCACATTTTTATGACTTATTACCCTTGCTCTGTATCCATTTTTCAGGAGGTTAGAATCCCTCCAGTCCATGTTTTCACGCGCCCACAAAATTTTTCTTTCGGCTCACCAAGAAGTATTCCTTAGATTTCAAAAGTAAGAACCTTCCCCTTGTTGTCTCCTATAATTTTCGACATTTGACCCCAGCACATAGTCCCTCCTTCCACATTATCACGCACCCTGCCCTGTAGTTGAATATTTTTTACTTTTTTTTTCTTTTTTATTTGAGGAATTTGTTTTGTTGAGGCACTCTCAAATAAATGTATTTACTAATCACCCAAGTCTTGAAAAATAAAGGAAAAGAGGTTCTTACCGGATAATCAGGTAAACATTCCTTCATGAGAAGATCTCCTAAAATTTCATCACAGTATTTTGCTAGTTTGTACTGCTGACTTTTGCAGCAATGATTTTCAAAGGATAGAATGACTGGATAATCACTGGTAACAAAAGCTGTATCTCGCAAAGCATAAATCACATCCTGGAAATAAAAAAAAATGTTGTGATGAGAAATTGAATGAAATAAAATGAACTTGCATAAGCCAGTGATTAAGAAAGTTTACCCATCTCCACTTCAGTTTGAGAAAAATTCATCATTTAAAAGAAATTTTTCATTTAGCATGAGCTAAGATCCTTATATTAGAGCCTGCTCTTAGGACACCATCATTGGAAATATAACAAGTAGCATCTAATTCGAAACACCGGTATCCTAATGAGGAAGGGGGTATGAATTTTTCAGGAAAGGATTTTTGAGTGTTGATACACTAGATAGGTTGTTGATTATATAGGAATCATCTTGTGACATGTAATGCCATGTTTCAGCAATGAATTGTGTCCCATCATAGAGGTGCTGTATAACCGATTGTAAAATACTCAAGATTCTACTGTACTACTCTCAGTGTCATTTCTTAATGCTTAGCGCTTTTTATTTTTTGGTGCTATCCGCAGTCATGAGCAGGATACAAGTTGTTACGGCCAAGAGTAATTCAGCTGCATTTCGAGTGCAAAATTCAAAATAGAATAGCATGAAGTTTGTTTAATTCGGAAATCCTGCTGAGTCAGAATGGGTCCTTGGTCCACATGAATTCTGACTTGATGAGGTTTAAGTGTAACACTGTAAATGAATAATGATTCTCACATCTTTAGACTACTGACGATATTCATGAAAATTAAATTCCTGAACATACCTTGAATAAGATATCGGTACACATGGCCTTCCCATGAGTAATGATGGGTTCTTCGTCTTCCCCTTTCCCATCCCAACAGTCGAGTTCAACGCACCTAAAAAAGGAAAATCATTTTAAAGACTGAAGAATTTAAAATATTACAAAACAACAGAGTATAGAATTATAAAAAAAAAAAAAAAAATCCTATTTCAGAAATATGAGTTAAAAATTCAAAGTTTTGGATATAATGTGAGTCTTTTGATCATTAATTTTTGGTTTGCAAAGGCAGAAAATTGAAGACTTAATGGAGAAAAAGCAAACATCAAAACATAGGTTATGCTTTGAATGGCTGGCCTCATAAGTTAATCATAGTTGAAAACTTGACGTACATTAACATTGTGAAAAGTAGCTTTAAAAAGTCTTTGAGAAAAATAAATTTTTTGCATAAGTGGAAAACAGATAATTACCTGCAGCCAGCAAGCAGAACTTGTCTGTACATTTCAACACTGGATTTTCCACCAAACTGTCGTCCGGACAAATATGTGTTGTGGGAGGAATTGATGTAGTAATGAGCTAAAGGTTGGTCCATATCCATATAAAAATCAAGTCGATCCAGAAATACAGGTGCATTTTCATCAGACATTAAATAACGGATCAAACCGTCTTTCGAGAGTTTCTCTGAAAAAAAGAGGAAATGATATAGCTCAGAAAACTAGATAAAAGGAACAAAATCATGTGTAACAAGAAAAACATGTTATTTTCGCAACTGCAGCATTCTAACTTTTGTATCCCATGCTTTTAGCAGACAGGTAAGCAGACAATAGGTTGTTCTACATTTTTATTACACTTGTTGAAGAAAAATTACTAAAGAAATTGTTGTGATGTATAAAGTATACAGTATGTTTTATTAAGTGCATCAATGCTTTCAATTTTTCCATCGCTTATAATATGGATCAGTTACACAAGTCACAAAGTTACGTTCTGGTGGGTCAAGCAAAAAATAATAAGATCTTCTCAAACACTAAGTTTCTACATCTGATATCAACTGAAATATAGATCATCGGAAAACACAGTGTATAAGTCCTCCGCTGCCATAGTGCACACTATGGTTTCTTCCACCTTGTATTGATTTTGTCGAGCATAGACTTTACACCTACATAATAATAATTATTTTTCTCTTAAAAATGCGATAATTTGAACACAGCAGTCAAATGAGAATATATCGATACAGAGCCATACAGATCAAATACAATTTAAAAGCAGTTCCGGAGAAATATGTCTGCTTTATCAAGAAATATACATTAAAAATATATACATGGAGATAAAAATGAAAATGATCCTTACTTTCAGTTTTGCACTCTTCAGCCTGTTCATAAGTATTGATAATTTCAGTAGCTCTTTTTTCATCGTAAAGAGGATATAAGATTTCGTTCAATCTTGGATCTCGTTGTTTTTCATTGAGGAAATTAATAAATTGTTCTAGGTTTATAAATTCAGCTTTTCCTTGAGTGCTGGAAAAAAATCATACTTCATCATAATTTTGCAACGACAATGAATTTTCGTGAAAATGGCATTAATGTAGACTGAGTGGGATTCTAGTAAAAAAAAAAATCGTACTTCATTCATTGAGAGATGATATGTATCAATATTGAAAGCAAAGCATTCAGAGTTAAGACATAGGAATTAACTGAAAAATCTGAAAAGTCAGCTATAATAATAAGATGATGAATCATTCAATATTAAACTTTCTAATTCTGAGGAAAACCAAACCTGAGCAACATGTTAATACGGTTCTGAGGAAAACATCTTAGATAGAAAATTGGTAGCCAGTATGTTTCATATCAACTGTGAAACTCTCAAACCACGTACCTTGGTTTGGTACACTGCAGACTTCCCTGACATACTGAATTTTTTCGATGGAAAACTACTCAACGGGGCAATCCTCGTAAACTATCGTGATTTTTCTTTCCTCTGTGAAGAAAATTCTATGAAACTTTAAGGAATGATGTTGAGTTGTTCTCCTTTGAAAACATAAAATAGGAGCATAGGTCTTAAAATACTGTAAACTAGATACATAGTTTGGGAGCTTTCCCGTTGATATGTTTCAGCCTGTATCCGTACATTGTGATTTTTCATCTGAAAATTGAGATGTAAAACTGACAGTTACACTTTTTTTTGGTGACCTAATGTTGGAAAAAGGTAAACTTATACAGAGTAAACTTAATTTAGACTTACATGGATTGAAAGAGTTCCTCTATGTCATTTCTTGGACAGATCTTGTGATACAATTCATAAAATTTGTCAAATGTAAAATCAGCTGGTACTATGGAATCATTCTAGAAGGAAAAAGAAGAAAACATTTTAAAACTTACTGGAACATATTCGTAATTTTGAGGCAATATCTTAAATTGGCTGACTAATGATTTTGGAGAGGGTTTGCAAGTGTCATGAGAAAATCTTTGTGAAAAATGAACGAGCATTAGATTTAAGATTTTTGTAATTTGAAACTTTAAAATTTAAAAGAAGATTGATTTCAGAGTTTATTGAAAAATCCACAGTTGTCTAAAAAGAATGGAGAGTATTATGACTGATCATAGAGAGTTGAGATGGGTAGATCCATTGCAGGAAATGATTTAAATAATTCAAAGAGTAACAAAAGAAAAAAAAAATTAATAATATCATGATCAAAAGATTCCTTTAAAAAAGTTTCAAGTAAGAACAAATGCAACAAACATACACCACCTTTTATGATTGAGTGAAAAATCCTTATGAAAATATTATTACCTTGCCACTTGGTAATCCTAGATCAGATAAACACTGATAGACTAACTTTTCAGTTTTACCGGAGGCGAATGTTTTTGAAATAACTTTCACGGGTACATTTCCTTTGGGCTCCACCAACATACACAGCCGCATCCAACTGAGAGGGAATGACGAGGCAAGATTAGAAATAATTCAAAAGCACTAATACTAAGATAGAAATGAATGGAAATCCCGATAAAAAGTTAGGCATGCTCTTTTTAATTTGATCTCAATTTAATACATTTGAAGTTTTGAAAATATATCGAGAGGAATACATTCTTACATGTAGACAAACATCACAATGATTATGTAATTAATTAGTTTCTGGTGGTGTTAAATGTCAAATAATGTTACAGAGAAATAAGTGTCTGACTGGTTGAAACTAGTGCACTTATACAACTATCTTTTAAATCCAGCTAGGGTCTGAATGAGCTTCTGAGAGGCCCAGAATGAAAAAAAAAGTTAATATGCAGAAACGAAATCAACAGATGAAAGGACATTAAACTCTGAACATTATCCTATGAGCAAAGAAGATCATATTTACAGAACATAGAAAAATTTCAAAGTCGACGAAACAAGCAGAAGATGAGGAAAATAGAACCTAAATAAAATGAAAAAGAAAAAAGAAAAATAATGACTCACTGCTTCATGAGATTAGTTCGAGGGCACACATTATTCATTTTGTTATTATGTGTTATCTTTCGTAGACCTTCCTGCCACGTCTGAACAGGTACAAATGTTCATGCAATAACATGCCACAAGACAACATCATGGAAAATAACAGAAAAGATACATTATTTGTAATTTGTAGAAATCAAAACTACCCATTCCACAGAGTTTGACTTTGAGAAACATTAAGATCAACCATGATTACACTGAGAGGGAATTGAGCACAGAAACTGGATGAAAAATTGAATGATGAAAGTAAAAATGAAAACGAAAACTGAGAAATGTAAAGTAAGGGTTAAAATCTTAGGAATAATACATGATGCATAGATAGAGGACTTCCATCTTTCTAGCGTCAAAATGAGTCTACTGCACACAGTGAATGTAACCACCTGAGAGTTAGTTACTGTAGACTTTTAAAGGTTTACTTGCAAGAGTCATCTATGCATCATTTCAGACATATGTATCCTATTTTATGATTATTTCCAAAAATTTAATAGAAGTCAACAACTTTGATGGAAGTGGTCAGTGGTGATTTTAGACAATCAATTCCAATCGACTTGTTGCTAACAGAAATAGAAATTTGAATGGCTGAACCTGAGAACTCATTAGAGTTTCATCACAACCAACTGCCACTAAGCTTAGATTTTCTTTCACCTAAAGACTTCTCTTTGAATGCTGAAACGTTGAGCTGCAAGAGCTAATTTACGCAGACGTATGAAGGTCGAGTATAAGATGATAATTGGGGGAAAAAGACTCTCACCAAAGAAACATCCGAGAATCTATTCTGTACAACAATGTAAAAAATTTGATGTAATTCGATGTAAATTCGATGAGTAAAAATTTGAACTGCTTATCTCTATGGTGCTGTATACAAGTGTGGTTTTTCATCCATCCGCACATAATAGGGGCGCAAATCCAAAATTGAACTTAGGAAGACTCGAGAGCTTAAGAAGACTTAGGAAGATTAAGACTCTCTCTCTCTGGGATCTTCAAAATTCTTTGGGGAAAAATCGAAAGTAAAAAAAAAAATAACTAGCTCTCTCCTGTCAAAGGCTAACATTCAAGAAAACCATGCAGGCTTCATGCTACAACTTGGGAAATTGATGTTCTACATTGATGAACCTTTTACTACAAACTGGTTTGTTTCCCAATTGAAAAAATGGAAAAACAGGTAGAGGAAAAGAGATCATTCAGTGCATAAGACACATTAGGTATGCACTTTAAAATAAAAAAGTTACCCTGGAGGAAAAAAGAATGAAAGTCACTCAACAAAATAATTTCTTGTTTGACTCTACAAATTCAAAGAAAAATTCATAGAAACAATTTTGGGGCAGAAAAATTCACTGAAAACTGAGAATCTAAGAAACATCAGAGCCAACTATAAACAATAGGCTGGCACAAACAGACAACACATTTCATGCTTTCATTTAACATGGCAACTTACTGCTTTTTCAAGCATGTATAGGGGCAGACATTATTAGCTTTCACATTATGTGTAATTTTTCTCAATCCATCTAACCAATCCTGTTACAAATTTAAGGATTATGTTGATTAAAGCAGAACACTGTTCAATAAAATTAAGTAAATAACTGCAGCTTGACAAAAATTTCATAAATACATGTTTGCGCAGAAAAATTTTAAAGTGAAAAAAATAAGTTCCTCAGATTGCATTATTGCTTAGAAGATGGGAAATTCTTTAAAGTTTATGGGACGATGATTGTCAGATTTTTTGAGAGTCTGGAAGTCTGATTTGGCCAAAAAATTCTTCAACATACAACTTCACAAAATTTTAATGGCACATGGAAGTAACTGATATGTTGAAATATTTAGAGAACAAAAATTTAGCTGCTTCCTACTTGCACTTTGAATGTAAATAAAAGTGTTCACCAAATTTAGAACTAATCATTTAACTTGTATTTCAACTTTTTTTTTGGTCATTTAGTTCTTAAATCTACTACGTTTCTTACTGCCTGTAGCTATATAATATGCGCCTGGATTGTGATTTATGGAATTAGGCTTTTGGAATTTTTCTCTGACATCACTTGTGAGTCAGACTGACATCCTCGTTGATTACAGTAAGCACCTAATCATTTTTCGGATCACTTTTCTACTCAATGAACTGATACATACTTCATCTACTAGAGCAGGGAGTAAGTATGATTAAAATTACACCGTACCTTGGCAGTGGCAGCATCCGGACAAATGACATGCTGACAATTGATATTGACATAATCTGTTCCACTGCAGATGGTTAGACTTTTTTCCTCTAATTTATCACCATGCTTTGTTGTCAGTTGATTCAAAAGCCGTTGGTCCTGGAAAAAAAATGCAAATTAGTTTCCCAACTGAGACAAAAAATCCTGTCGCATATTAAGGGGGACGAGAGATGGAAAAGTTGAACACGTTAGCTAAATCAATTAGGGAAAGTACTCTTTAGAAGGGAGAAACATGACGTGACTAATCACACTACATTATGCTTAATACCTTGCAAAATACAAAAGCCAGAATTTCCAAAAAAATTCTACCTGGGACCAGGCAAACTGCGAGCTAGGTTTTTACTACATGTTGTTTTATTTTTAATTCTTGCACTACACATTCAGAGGAACAATATGATGCCAAAATTAGGACAAAAATTGAAATATAAATGGGTGAAAAATGAGGATAAATATTGATGGCCAAAGTGCAAAACCACATATCTTCATCAAGGATGTTTTGAAATTTTTGTTCCTATTTCAATTTCTTAAAAAAAACCACTCACTTCTATAAGTTGAAAGTTATACAGAATACTCTATCAAAAGAAAAGAAAAATCAAGGAAGTTTCCAAGAAATCACTTTAACTGGTTTTCCAAAGAAAAAATAAAGTATGACAGGAGGTCTACCACATCCACATCCCTGATTGAGGTACGTGGTTTTGCACCTAGGTCATTGATATCGGACTGGTCTATATGTCGCAGGCAAATAGTCAAATCAGGGCATTTTGTCTCATGCCTTGGCAAAGAGTCAAATACAAATAATTAGATTAAGATTCTGATTATTTTCCTGGTTTTAGACACAATAGCCAATTTCTCATGCAAGAGAAAATTATCTATTAACGTAAGCATCATAGTAAGGTATGTTATATGATTTTCAGTTCTTAAACAAACATTTATCTTGAAATTTGTATTGTGCTATTAAATAGAGAATTTTTAAAATATTTGCGTTTAAATATATGAGGAGCATTTGAAGTGGAGAGAGACTTCATAGATTTGATGATTAATTCCTTCCAACCTATTGAAAACTGGTGAGCTCATAGTCATAAAAATACAAAACTTTGTACCTAAACGGACAAAATTTGACTATATGCATGGGCATTTGACAAAATGTCTGATTTGACTGATTGCCTGCGACATATTCAGGCTAAGAAACAATACCACCTAACTGAAAGCTTTGGCGACTTTGCCGCATTCTGCAGAATGAAATACATAAGCTGATGATTTTAGTTTTTTCCAATCCAGTAGGAAATCACTTTATTAACGCTGGAATGTATGAAAAAAATGCAGATCCAACCTAAAAATTGCAAAAATAGCAAAGTTTTCTCTTCATTCTACAAAATTGTCAGTTTGCAAACAGGCAGTATTATTTATTAGCCATTGATATACAAAATATTTTTAATTAATCCAAGGTTAAAGCCAATTTTCTCTGATAGCCTATTCTTCATTGACACTGTGTAGGACAGTGCATGGGTATTAAAACCTCTTGGCTGCAGGTCTCAAGAGATTTCTCTTGAGGAGATAGCAATGGGATCATTTTGCTTAGGTGGTTGGCTTTTTTAATAAGATCCTCACCAAGAGTTTCTTGTAGCAAATAAGAAATGATAGGAAAACTCACCTTCGGCAGACCTCCAGCCCTTATATCACTAACTTGGCATAATTCAATTACATCTCCATCCTGCAATAAAAAATGAAAACTAAAGACTAAATATTAAAGATAGGAGGAAAAAATGCAATCTTCATATTACAAAAATATTTTTGGGCCATCTGCTTCCAAAATTTTCTGAAGAAACTGATCCGTTCAATTTAATCCCTGAAATGACCTCAAAGCATATACAAAAAGAGTGGAATCAATTTAAGTTGTTAAAGTTAAAATCTCAATTTCTTGATTGAGATTTAGGCTATTTCATGCTTGTGCGCAGACTGACATTAAGTTCAGTCTGGTGGGCACCTTCAAAGCAGGATTAGAGACCCTTTGTGATCAACCCACCTCATTTAGCATTTCATCATTGTTATATTTTCTCAAGGGGTTGATTCTTTAACTTCCTGTCATGAGACTCACGTTCCACAAGAAAGCTTGAGAAGAAACAAATGTGTGACAAAATGTTTCAATTTGTACCTTGTAAGCCTTGCCCAATAGGATAGTAAAATAAAGTCAAGATGTGTGAGACATCTCAAGAGACATGCTCACTTTTGTAGGTACATTAAAATAAACGAATTGTAAAAAAAAAAAAAAAAAAAAAAAAAAAAAAAATGCAATTAAAATGCAATTTAAAACTCCTAAGACAATGCATGATTTATCAGGGACAGTTAAGTATCATACAGTCATAAAATGGCATACTTACTTTAGGCTCACTTTTCCAGAAAATGAAAAATCCATATTCATCGACTTTGAACATGCAATTCGGTTCAAAATCTGATGAGTCCTTCTCTTCAGTCCAGCGGTCGAAGACGCACCCTGTTAGAAGTGGCTCCGGCACTGGAATGTGCCAATCAAACTCGAACTTCTTCGTCATCCTCTAGGTCTGCAACAAATGAAAAACTATGCTTTAATTTCAAGAATTAAATTCCTCTTGGCAGTATCAATATTACAGCGATTTGACAAGTTTAAAATGAGGATTTCCTAAGAAATTACCCAACATGTATGCAGAGAATGAAATCAATTTTGGCAAGCTCAACATGTGATCATTTACCAGTTAGAAAAAAGAACTAGAGCTTTGTTTCTGATCTCACTGCACTGAAATCGCTTAATCGTCCAGCTTATATAGGCAATTAAGGAAGATTTAATGGTTGACTTTGTTCTAAATGGAAAACCCTTCAAAGAAAATCACATGGTATCTTGAGTTAACAGTTGAACTCTTATCAAAAGCAAAGGCGGTTTAGTCAAGAAAGAGCCTGCCTTTTCAACTATAGCTTGGAGTTAATGATTGCCATCAGCAAGCAGCTTTCGGAACCTCGGCAGGATTTTTACGACAATTAACACTGAAGATCAGATAGATTAAAGTTATCCTTATTACTCTGCGTATAAATTCTAGGAGCATTACCTTTATTTACAAAGGCAACACTGAGACTCGACTGATTAATTTCAGGGTGTTCAGAAATTAATGTAAAATTTGAGGTTAACTCATGGACAAACACTTCCGCTACTAGAATATTCAGATTTAATTCATTTTTTCAAAGACAAAAATTTGATAGGGACAAAATGCTTATGCTTATTGTGGATGCCAAAGAAAATTATCAAAGCAAGTAAAAAGACATCCCTACAATACGGAGCAATTAGGGATGTACACATCTTCAAAGATCGGGCGTGGGATCAATTCTGCAGGATGTGGATTGTGACAAATATGAACAGCAGATCGCAACCGCACACAATAGAGCCAAGGTAGAGCATTGGCTAAAACACCTGTGCAAATAAAATTTTACCACCCATGTTAATTGACTGACAGAATACCTAGGTTGAAACAGTTTTCTCAGAGTGATATTGTGAATTATAATAGGAAAATTGTCTTGTAAGTTTGTCTGTAAGAGGTACTTCATGGGGTAAAATAAAATAAAATCATACCGAATTCATGAGTACATAGTCGAAACCACTGAGATGTAATTAACAAAACGGGCTAGAAAGACGCGTGTGCTTGAAGGCACAAAACAAATAATTTGTTGACCCAGATAAGACGTTTACAAAACATCAACACTGATGCGAGTTGCGAAAAAGTCGCGCAGAAATATTCGAATTCTAGATGATTAAAACTAAAGCACAATCTGGGAGGAAGTTTTTAAAGTCTAGTTATATCAAAAAGTCGGAAAATTGGTGCAATACACTAACGGCAACCAGTAACATTCACGAACTCGAGATGGTGATAATAGGATCCCAATATCGTGGAATGTGTCAACACAACTCGTTGCACACACACACACTCACACATGCACAAGAATCACCTGATGCGAGGAGTTCAGAAGCTGTATGAGAATACAGCTGTGCGTATTGCCTACTTTTCTCACTTGAAGGCGAATATTGAGCATGTTCGTGGCACATCGATTTCGATGGCCATTTATTCTTATTGGCATGGGAGAAATTGAAAACTTAGTCCTATAGTTGATAATTCCTGATTGAACACCATATTAGCATGATTATTACCATACAATAACCATGTGGCATGTAATTTTACACTAACCCAAATGTATACACATTTAAATTAACCTGCGACTTCTGGGACCCAGATTATATTGACGGAAGGACCATTTGTTGAAAATATTACTTTGTAAGGAAGGATTCCTTTACTTTAAAAAAAAAAAAAAAAAAAAAAATCTCGGTCATATGATTGCACTGTAGGCTTTAAATGCATAAGTGCGGTGCCTGAGTGCATGTTGATAGGGCAACATTTGGTGGATTGATGTAAGTCTTAAAATGCGTACCTCTGTTGCGACGGTGCAAGTTTCCGCTCGTAATTTATTTTTTAAAAGAAATTAAAGTAAGCTACGGTTTTTGTTGTAATTTCTGTAAATATTTCTCATTTACCCAATAGAAAAATGTTTCAAAAAGTTATTTTGTTTAATTTTCTTTAAAAAAAATTAAATGAAAAATATAACTATATGTCGGACACTGTCAAACGTTGAATTAATCATCGATGCACAGAAGGAAGAGTCACGGTAGGCGGGATGAAACCATCTTTAATTTTTTTTCTCAATCGTGTGTGGGCGCCCAAAAATGTACTCAATGAAAAATTCAGCCGGTTTAACGCTTGTGTGATCAGATTGTGAACACAGGTACATATTGCTGCTCATGCGTAAAAACCACAAACCACTTTTAAGGTTTCTGCGAGAGAATAAATAGGCAATTCTTTTTTCATGTAATTCACACGGAAGCTTCTGCCTTGGGCCGCCCCACGATTTTTGTGAAGGTTGTAAAGTATCTGGAGCGGATCAAAATACCCTGGTAAAAATTGACGATAGGAGCTGCGTTTCAAAATACCAAAGGAGTACTTAAAGCCGACTGAAGAAGGCGATAGAAAATCATACAGCTGGCTGTAGAAAGTGGAAAAAATCATACGGCCGGGCTACACGAAGCGATAAAAAAATTAAACAGCCGGGCTATAGTTCCTGTCGCCGGGCTTTACACTTTATCGCCTGGCTGTTGCTTTTTCGCCATCGGCTATAAAAGGCTATAAGAAATTGTGTAGAAATTCGTGTGCTTTGTAAATCCTTAAGTTTTTACGGAATCACCATAATATTTACATAACGCACATTATATTTTCCTTTACTACATATTTGTTTTCATCAATTAAAATGAGAATAAAAGTCATGAGTTGAACAACGCTGACTCCACGAGATTAAATATTAGAGCCTAACACAAAGCGGAGCGGCGGCGCACTGGCGCCTACAAACCTAACTGGGATACTTCACGCATTGCGCAATGCGTGAAGTATCCCTGTTAGGTTTGTAGGCGCCAATGCGTGTTTCGTGTTGGCTGCCTGCCCGCCGCGCCGCAGCGTACCACGGCGCTTGAGGCAACTATTTCACACCAGAGGTATTGCACAGTATAGTACGAAATTGAAGGCGCTCCAACATATTAGGAATGGCAGGCATCCTTCAAAAGTACGGAGCTTTCCTCGCAAAATAAATCAAGATACTACGGCCCAAAAAGAGAGCGGTACCTAGTCCAAAAACTCACTAACAATAATTCCTAGCATCCATAATTAGTAACGTTTAGCATACACTTTATCGTCAGGCTGTTGCTTAATCGCCATCGGCTATAAAAGGCTATAAGAAATTGTGTTGCCGGCTATAGAAGCTATTGGAAATCTTACAGTCGGCTGGAGGTCTATGGTATTTTGGAACACAGATTCTACTGCCAATTTTTACCAGGGTACGTATGTATTTTCAAATGCTTTCCCCCAAAGTATAAAACATACTTGGAAAATGCAAAAAATAAAATTACTTTTAGAATATGTAAGTTTGTCACGTACAACGGCTTGCCAAAATTTTTCCTTTTTTCAAAAGAAATTTTATAAATGTTTTAAAATTTCAGAGGTATGAGACACTTCATGCTCATATTAAGAGGAGAAATCTCTATCGGAATGTGAAATGTACCTAAGTGTTTGCCTACTGAGAATGGGTATGAATAGAGAGTAACATGATTATTTAGGTTCAATTTATTTAAATTCAATTCATTCCGTTTAGGAAGATTTATGGTTTTGTTGCAAATAAAAAGTTGCGATGTAACAAATGCAGCTTTACTCACATCAATGTCGGGTGTAAACCGTAAAATTTACTGAATTTTTCCCCACTTCCCCTGTAAAAATCCTTAAGTCGAAAACGGTGTCATCCATTGGGATGGCAACAGGCATTTGATTTAAAGGATTCTGTACCTCAAAAACTTCGAAAAAGAGCAATACATTCCTGTCCTACACAACTTCGCACTTATTATTAGTATTAATGGTTTACCTACTTAATTAACCTATGGTCTGGATATTCAAATAAAAACTAACTCCATTTAAGTTTACTCCTGTATGGAATTTTGATGGCTAAAAACTGTTGGCTATCTTCATTTTAAAATACGGCAAAAGCCAGATTTTTAAGAAAAATTTTCAGGGGATACTTTGTTTGGAGATGAATAAGAGGCAAGGGGATGCAAGAGGGTACCTAATTTATAATCATTTCGATGTGGTAAGGGAAAAGGGGATTAAGATTTAAACTGAAAAAGTAAGTATACGAGCAGTAACTTAATGCTGGCAGCTTAAAAGTATTTCGGTTACACGAAACATCAATGACTATTTCCATAAAAATCATTGAAATTACACATTTTTGGCGTGAAATCATGATCACGGTTCTTTCAAGGATTTTTATGAATTATTACTTGATAATCCAAATAGTTACTATGACGTCGTATTAATGAACGTATCATTCAACCGAAAACTTTGAAGCGGAAGAAAATTGCATATCAGTCGATTTGAAGGCGAATATTGGCTCGTAATTCACTTGAAAATACACATTCTCACATAGTCGGCTTCTACCGTTGGGTTCGATTAAAAAATGTCGATCGCGTTTTTCATGCCGGAAACTTGAAAAAGGCGGAGGAAAGGGATACCATAAGGAGACTTCCGGTTTTTCGGCGGCTATATCCATAGTAAAAACAACTATGCATTTTCTCATCGCTCCACGTCGGATACTAACGAAATAAATCACAAAAAACACAAGCTTACTGACCTAGGGGCCGCTTGGCGGGAAAAAATTGAAGGCACTACGCGGGACAGGTGAAGGGACGCGAAGGCGAAAAAAGGCCGAGCCTTTGACCGAGATCCCGGCTGGCATTTACACTTGACTGCGCGTCCGTCACTCGGTGGCGTCGTCCCGACTACATGTTGCGCCCGTGAGTCGAGCCCGCTCAACACATGGCACAGGAACCCGGAGGGTGCACGTAGACACTGCGGGCTGCGTTCGCCCTTTGCAGGGGCAACATACGGCCAACGCGACGGCGACGTCTCACGTGGACGAGGTATATCGATCTCACTCGACTACTCCGCCGTATCAGCAGTAAGTAAGTTTCGGGATGAGCCACGATTAGCATTAGCTCTTACGAGTCCCAAGGCTCATCTCGGGAACCACTTGATGGGTTTTTTTCCTGCGACACGACATTACTCGACTGTGACTCGGTCAGTCCCTGCCCGGGTCCCTTCCAATCCGCGAGCCTTTGCTCAGTACTATCACGTTGACACATGTCGGCTGGAATCAATTAAACTAATAATAGAAGCCCTATAACTCGACTTTCCTACCGGTCCCGGGTGCCCTACCTCGTCCCCGACGGTTGTGTAATAATCCGCGCACTACAAAAGCCACAGCGGCCTTGTGGCCCCCCCCCCCCCCCCNGCTCTCCTCCGCACTCCTTCCGAGCTTCCATGTCTATCCATAAGATTTTCTCCAGATCCGACAAGCTAATATTTAAGACGGTGCCGAGGACACACTGTTAAAAATCGAGGAGTGAAATTCGGTGCCGGAGTCTACGCAAGGTGACACAAAAGTCTTAGGACACCCCTGTAACTTTTGAGCGAATTGAGATGGAGACTTGAAATTTTGACGGTGCTCCTGGATCCAAGGGGAGCTCCAAAAATTTGGGGGCACTGGAAAAAAAAAAAAATTGGATCTAGAGTCCAGACTCTTGAAAACATTGACAAAAAAAGGGACTCTTGATTCAATCAGATTTAAGCTTAAATCAGAAGGAAATCCGCTCAAATTAAGAGGCTCGGTTCTTGATTTAAGCTTAAATCTGATTGAAGCAAGATCATTTTTTCTTGTCGATGTTGTCAAGAGTCTGGACTCTAGATCCAACGTGGCTTTTTTTCCAGTGGGGTCAAAAAAGTAGTTTAATTTGGTTCAGGAGCACCGTGTCAAGTGTCAAAATGTCAAGTCTCTATCTCAATACGTTCGAAAAATACAGTGGCGTCCTAAGATTATTGTGTCACCCTGTATAGCGCCCAAAAACCTCGAGTGATATGAATATGAAGTGAAATTAGAGGTGAGAGCATTTCCTCCGCAGTCCGCATTTATATCACTCGGGGGTTTTGGGTGCTAAATAGACTTCGGTACAGAATTTTACTTCAAAATGTTTAACAATGCAAAATTATTAAATTGCCACCTCCTTTAAAAACCAGCCATCTCATCGTGACTTGGTAGGTACCTACATTGGTGACCAAGGGAAAAAGCTATGTTTTCAAATCTTGACAATGAAATAGAAGAAAAATTCATTGATATGCTTTTCTTTTCATTTCCTTCTATAACAACGAGATAGGGAATGCAACCTCACAGGCATATTTTTTTTAGGCCTCAGAAAGTGTAATCGTTAGTAAGCAACGAGAGACAAACTACGATACAAGAATTTTCCTTCATATATTATTTTTTAGG